TGGTCTTCATCTGTATTCAAAGTATCATAAATAAATAAAATAGAACCCAGTAAAATCTCGAATTCAAACACCTCGTTTCATTTTTAAACGCTTCGCTGCGAGAATAGTCGGTGTTCACGCGATTTTTATCCGTACCAGTCTTTGAATTATTGACTTGATAATGGCCTGGCGAAAAGAACACAGGGGGACGGATATTACCCCATAAAATCATCTCGGTGGCGTGAGAAAAAAAGAAGGCGGAACTCACGCGTACGATATTTTCAAACCACTTTACAGGCTCGTAAAACTTCATTACAATCGTTGATACGCACGAAGCACGATCGGGCGCGATATTTCCCCCACTTTCGCGGTTCGTAAAAAAATGTTTGATCGCTTAATTTCAATTAAGTACCCCGGTTCTTGCTTCATCGGGACCGTTCGCGGTCTGTAATCGTCAGTGTTTCAATGCCCGTGTTCAGTAATCTTTTAGAATCTCGAAAGATCGGGATGAGGATATCATTACGATTTTTTTTATACAAGCAGATCGTACCGCCAATTAGCAAGGAAGAAAAATGACTCATCCGGTCGTAATGACCGGCCAATTATGTAACTACGTTTACAAGCGCGCCGTGTATCACTGTAATATATTGCTGAAATTATGTTAACGTCCTCAATGCTCCCCGCTTCTTTTCTGTTCGTCGACCTGAATGAATTTCACGCTTACGGAATTGCAAAACAGTCGTCAGAAACATGAAAGTTCGAGATTGGGGCTATCATTTGTATTTGTAAATTATGTTGTAATTCTGTCTGGTGAAGAAATTGACAACTCGCGGTTTCAATTTGTCGTATGACAATTCAGAGCTTTTCAATTCGAATTTAATATTTTTATAAAATTGTATTTATATGGAGATTTCGTAAAAGTATGCAGTAAATTATAGAGATTTGTAAACTGGTCTCAACTTTCGATTGTACTTCTTTTTAAAGAATATTAAATAGTCACTTTAACTGAGTGCGGAGTATACGTTAAACGTAATGGCTGCCATATGCAGGTCTCCATTGAAATTTTATAACTACCTTACTCTGTCAAAAAGTAACTAAGATATCATTAATTGAATTTTTTACAATTTAGTTTAGATTATCGACTACTGAAACTAGTGTTACATTACAATAATGACTCCTTAAAAGGTACTTATTTCATATTCAATTTACTTCAATTTTGAAGAGTAAAATTTGAAATAAAATCAGATTATTCATTTATTAAAACTTGTGTTATTGCAGTAAGAACTCCTTGAAAAGCTTATTTCAAAATAAACGCTCGTCTTTTAACGTGCAATGTTTGATGAAATCTATTCAATTTCGGAGAGTGAAATTTACCCAATAATTTCCAAAGTAGATCTAAAAGTTCATAAAGATATTGTAACGACAGTTGGAACATATTCAAAGGACACTATTGAATACATGTATCTACTGGACTTAAGTCCAAAGCCGCCATTATGTTTCTCGGTGACACGCAGCTCGTGAAATTATTAAAAGAACCTATTGCTACAATAATAATATATTATCAAACATCGTTTCAAAATGTACGAGTTGATTTTTAAAAGGATTCTATCCGCAAGATACATCGAACGTCCATGTAGATCGATGGTCCACATTCGAACTCGATGATTCGTCTTCGGTTACAAGAAACGAGTTGTGCAGTCATGTTATGCAATTTTGTTTTAATCGAAGCGGGTAGAAAAGAAAAAAAAAACTGGATTTGTCGGTGCGCTCCATTGTGATATGTCTTTCGTGCAAGTGGTACCACGGATTCACAGTTCACGTACGGCAATAAAAGGCCGACAATATGTATGCAAATACGGGAGTGAGGCAACCGAAACCGAGAATATTTAATTTCCTCGTGGCAAAGCTTAGTTCCAGATCTGATTTTATCACGGTCCTCCGCGATTTTTCATTAACACTTTAAGCGCCGGTCACCGGTGACCGACAGTCAATTTCTCACCTCAGACCGCGCCAATGACTGAAGCAATTCAATGTAAAACATAATACCTTGATATTTAAAAATAAAACATGGTAAGATTATGATACCAGTAGAAACGTAGCCTAATGTTTAATAACATTAACACTTTGATTGCCACGTCACCCAAATGTGGATGATACGTACATTGCGGACAGGCTGGATTATTTAAATACTGTTACAAAATTTTTCGTAATATTAATATAGCAGTATAATTTTGAAAAAGACCAACAGCCTCTTATTAACTAAACGCACATACTTTCGGCGATATATGACTTAAACACGAAATAAAGTGTGTCTGGCCATGTACGTCCTTTTTCACTGTGGCAATGAAAGTGTTAATGAATATAATACAATGATTGTTATTTTAATGGAGCTTGTTGAAATATGACAAGTAGTGATGAGATTTTCCATCAGTATAATCAGAAACTCCTGTTATTTTCGCAATCCAACTTCTAAACACTTCTTCTTTTCAACTCATTTTGTACTTATTGTCGTCGTAACATTTCGTGTAAAATTTTCGACTTGACACTCTTACACTTTTTTCGTGCAATTAGTGACATCATTTTCGACTTTTATTTATACTATAATTAATTCAAGAAAAGTCAATAAAATTACTTCGGCGGTTAACGCGTTAACACGTTGACTGCCATGGTGGTCACCGATGACCGGCGCTACTAAATTACACGAAGAAACGTTCACTTTTAAACCATGAAACATTTAACATTTTATAAATATAGTTAGTAATAAAGTAAGTGTTCAAGTCAACGCGTTAATACGTATATTATCAATAACAAAGACTTAAACAAACGTATCATATCATGAGACTGTCCTAAAAGTAGAAATTGTGGCATTCAACGTGTTAAACTAGGTGCGTTTCCCGCGGATAAAGACGGAATCCGACGTTTCGCGTAAAAATTCAAATGCTCCCTATAAAGTTTCTACACTTGGTTCGAGCCCAATAAAAACGGTGATTGATGGCCTGATAAAAATTCGACATCCTGCGCGCGGCGAGGAATGATATACAGTTATAACATCAACTTTACGGCGCACTATTTACAGCGTCGCTCGGTGACGTCATTGTCGACCTACGTACGTCACATATTAATGTCTTACACATTTTGAATTATAACACTGAGAGCTGAGCCCATCGATTGTTATAGAAACATATTACTTGCAAACGTATCTTGTATTAAACTGTAAAACCAAATGTACGCTCCCCTTTGTGGCTGTTTTATGCATAATCTTTCCGTTTCTTTTTATTTCTTAAATGTATCGATAAGAATCTACTTTTATTATATTATCCTAAGTGTTAATTAGACCGTTTATATGTCCTGTGATTAAAGTGATCGTGAAAAATCGTCGCGATCTACCTCGAGGGAGCACAGTTTGCTACGCGCCTCTAGCCCTTTCACTGCTGCAAACAAATATGTCGTAGGTTCGGTGATGAATTTAATTTTCTTTTTTTTATAATATAATAATATAAAGTAAAACGACTAATTGGAATGCCTCACTGTATTTTTTCTTGTTTTTAGATATCTCCATTCTATTTGAGAAAGATTAACAAATTATAATTTTAGGTATATTTCTAACTATTTTGCCGAAAGTACTGTCTAAATTCGTACTTCTGAAATTTTAAATACGATTCACTTATGACAAAGCAAAACGTTCAACCCTTCCATCTAGTTAATATAACGATACGACATGGTGAATCTTCTTGCGTAAAAAAAAAAAACAACAAATGGTATGCATATATACAAGACGTCATGAAATATGTCCACGTACATTTATAACTGTGATGAAATATTGCAGTCTCTGGATGATAATTCAGTCTGGAACTTTCACGAGATTATTTACTTAAGGCGTAGTTAGAAAGCTCCGTGTCCTACGGGCAGCAAAGTATACCGTTCGAATGCATTAAACTACTTTCGCTGTTCGAGTATGATTAATAATTTACATATTACAGAAATAAATATTGTAAAACCAATAAGAATAATGTGAAATTCTCTACCATAAAACACAACAGTCCCGTAATTTGTAATAACAAGTCTCGAAGAATCTCGTCAGTATCCTCCCGCGAAACCCGTGTCAACGCTAACGTGACAAATTACCAGCAGCGCGATGGAAGGGTTGAACCTCGTCAATCTGTCCAACTCAACACCACACCGAGGCTTGTTACACACCCCCATTCAAGCTTTAATGCAGTCCGTGCGCGAGGTGTAACAAATCAGAGACAACGTTTCCCCTCCATTTATCAGAACCTTTACCAATGACACGGCAGGCGCAGAGAGTAGGTACCGTCGCCACCCTATCCCCCAAAGACAAAGGCAATTGTACCCTAATCAACGCGTCTCCGCGAGCCAGCATAGGCTTCATGATCGGCCAACAACCCCTAACAGCCAGTTCAGACAATACGATTTTTTGAACGATTCGGTAATTTTAGCAAACTGATAATAAAGCAGCGATCATACGATTCCATATGTTCATTGAAAATCTAACTCTGATGCGTATTTTTACCGCCTTTGTTTGCACAAATGAATGCTGTTTCCGGTTATTACCGATTCGATCAAAAAACCGTATCGTCTGAACTGGCTATAAGTAGTCTTGTTTTTTATATTATTGGAATATGTTTCCATAACGATAAACTATTGTCGGTATTATTATTAAATCGATCAACTGAATATTAACACTTTAATTACTGTGTACCAAAATGGATACACAGCTGAACCGTATAGAGGACCTGTGTGCCTATGGATGGTCACAGGAAAGCATTTCATTCTATGAATTGAAATTCTCCCAATTTTAACCGATTCGGTAATTTTACGGAATCGATCAAAAAACGGTATCGTCTGAACTGGCTGTATTGTTCACCGACAGGACCTACGGCGTCGCAGTGAATGGGCTAGGTAGATCGTAACGTGCGATGGAGGAGGAATCTCGTGATCAGCTAAGCCGTAACTACGTTAACGATAGGGTAAGAAAAATAAGTATAAGAGAAACAACATGCCCTGGCTCGAGGAGAGGACCCTGACTCTGTTTGTACGGGACACAGAGGTCCGCCGGTACGAACCAGGAGTGCGTGAACGCGGGGTTGATGTTGAGCGCCCCAGCGGCCCCCTGATGGGGTCCGCCGACATCGACGCCGACACCGACACCGACCCCGACCGGGCTTTGTCGTTGAAAGCCCCCATAATCCATGGCCACCTGATACGGCAACATCTTTCCCTCTCTCCGTATACTCCTTTTTCAATATCTCTCTAAATATTCTCTCTCCTCTCCCTCTATCCTCTTCGTCTGTCCGTCCTCTTCGTTCTTCCTCGCGAGCACACGCAAAAAAACCACTTTATATATTATTGTCGTTCTGATCGTTCGTGGCACCACCACCAAAAAAAAAACCAAACCAGTTCACCTTCCCGCACCACGGAACAAACTACCGGCACACCACCGGCGGAACAGTCATAACATCCCGCGGCTCGTCATCGTCCATCGCGCGACACGTCCCGTTGGTCACGCGTCCCGACCCGACACGGTATGTATACGGGGTCGCCGAAGCCCGTCAGAAACAACTAGAGACCAAAGGGGCGAGCAAAACGGGAGAGAACGTCCCGTAGGGCGTACACACACGCGCACACACACACTACTTGACACACGTGTGTGTATATATATATATATATATATATCGGTGCTTTCACGCGCGCGCGCGCGCACGTGCGTGTCACACAACACACACAACTCGACGGACGCGACTCTGTCTCGCGTGGACCACCACCCAGCTGTTTCGTTACCACCGGAGGGGTCCCTTCGATCGCTCCGGGATCACGCGGCGGGCCGCCCGATGTGCGCGTCGGACGGCGGGGGTTGCAGGCAGCGAGCACAGCGACAGACAGCTAAACGGCCGGTTCGTGACCGAACGACAGACTAGACCGGACTGTACCGGGTCCTGTAACGTGAGCCGCGCGACCGAGACCACGTCGTGAGAAGTGAGACAGTCGGCCTATGGTGGGAAGAGGAGCGAGAAAGAGGACGCGAGAGCGTGCGCCGAGCCACGGTCTCTGTGGCTCCGCCCACGGAACGGAGCCACGACCAATAATCTGCGAGCGCTGCATCCACCCGTCCACGCCCACCACCAGTCGTCGCACGGACACAGGCGCGCACACTCTTAACGGATCCCCGCGACTAGCGCTCGCAACACAGACGCACGCTCGCGGAGGCACGTATACTCAGTGCGGCCGTGGCCCCGCCCATCGGTACTAATGACACTTGCCGGATGGTTAAGAGGTCGGATCCGTACACCTACACGGGAGAGGGCTACCTTGTCGCGAGCCAAGGGCGACGTTCCCCGGAAGTGGCCTGTGTAAGCGTGCCACGTGCGCGCTCGACGATTCTTAACCCTCGCGCGGGGACCGGCTCTTTCTTTCTCTTTCTGTGTTCGTTCAAGGTGTCGCGGCCGACGGATGACTTCGGGGTTTCGAGCTGCGGTGCGATTTCGGGAATGATTGAACTTGAAGTACAGTGGTCCAGAATCTAGATTTAATAGATCATACGTTTATTTAGCTCAAGCAATGAAAAATGTTGGAAGTTATATTTATCTTTAAGTAGAAACAGATAGATTGATGAATGTTGAATCTAGTTGGGAATTAATACATTCTTTAAATCGAATTTGAATTTCGGGAATGCCAACTGTTCTTATATTTAAGATTGAACTGTTGTACGATATTTTGTATCGCCCGCATTAGGTGCTTTACGTTTGATTCTACAAATTTCTACTTTAATTCAGTATTAAAATGCGGTATGAACGACTATGAAAATAGAACATTACTACAATTAATTTTAACTACAAGTATTTTTCTAAAATTTTAATATTCCCTGACGCGCTTATGAAAGTAAGCAGATAGACTTCGCTGAAATTTAAATCCGCTATAGCTCGAAAACAAGGTCAAATTGTATGACCTTTTTGTATTATTTTAATCTACTGAAGCTACCTCCAAAATATTTCCCACTCATTTTGGGACAGTCTGCATATAGTCCCATCAAAATCGCTTTGAAGCAACATAATAACCCAACTCACAGGTACAAAAATTCCCTACCATACCAAGAAACATCCCGTATTCCCCCAAGTCGCACCTCTATTTCTCCCAGTGTTTTTATTCGATTCAGCCGTACAGTTCGTATAAGTTTCGATACAGGCTGGCCCTGACAGAATCTGAATGAGAATTTCGCAGGTAAAGCACGAGCCGTGAAATAGAAAAAAAAAACAGAAAGAGACAGGCGCTAGAAATAACACCGTTTGTTATTTCCGTTTATATCCCGAGTCCTCGTAAAGCAAGACGATCGTACCTCATGGATATTCATGGACCGGGACTTTTTCTGTTACTCAATCGGCCCGATCGATCGTCGATTTATCTCACGCAACGCGTCTTTATGCAATTACGCCATTGTCGGAATGCGGGGCACGTAATAAAATAGCCGAGAAATCGACGCGAACCGCGGCACCAAGCAGGAAAGAAGCCGTGGAGAGTTTGCCGTCTGTGAGATCGGTGAAAATAACGCGTAACTATCGTTATTTCACGCGGCCCAGGTGTGGGGAGCAGAGATCTCAGGTGTACGCCCGAGTAATCGACTGCTGTAGCACCCACGCCCTACGGAGACGCCATGATTCTCTCTTTGATTAGGCGCGCGATATGTACGTGCAAATGCCCGACACTGGCTCCGTCGTAACAGCGCGCAGTTAACACACATCGATGTGTAGACAGAGAGTACTTTCTTGGAATGACAAAGTAACTCGTGTCTACACTCGACACGTTCATTCTTATAGATCCTGTACCTAGGCTTTTTATTTACAAGAAGAGGTCACAGTCGTTGGGTCATCGATTTTAACTCCTTGCCCTACGATTTTCTTCACGTCCGCAGACTTCAGGATTACATTGTTGTTAATAGTTCCTCAGAAACGAAAGGAATTCTGTACTTAACGGAACTGTATTTTTACTGTAAAAGTTAAATATAAATGTCAGAAAAAGAACACCGAATAATATTCTTCCTTGTTGAATTGATTTTGAAATCGTCAACACGAGTCTGAATCGATGTTATGGGGCAAGGGGTTAATGAAACTTCTTTCCGATGAATCTACAGCAAATATAAGACGACACGATTTTCCTATTTTCGTCAATACTTATTTTTTATGAAGATATTTTACATTTAATTTTTATGATTTCAATAAATACATGATTAATAGAAGCTAATGGTAACGGAGGTGGTTAAGTGCTAGGTTCTTAAACCACTGTATCGATGGTTCGAATTGTGGAAAATTAATGTTTTTTTCTTTAAATGTATATTTTTGGTGGTACGCAGTAATATAATAAATAGCTTAAAGAAGTGTAGAAAAAAAGAAAAGAATTAAACTAATTTATAACAAGACAAAATTTTAAATAATTAAAACAAATAATACAAAATTAAAAAAAAGAAACATGTACATTTACAAAAAAAAAATTAATTTTCTGGGATTCGAATCATCGATAACAGTGGTTTAAGAACCTACATAGCACTTAATCACCTTGGCTACCATAGCTGTTGCAATTAGCTTCAATTGATTCTATATTTGTTGAAAGAGTTAATCCTTGAACTGCTTATCAAAAACAGGTCACTTTTGACCCATATTAAAGTTTTAGATATCGTAAGTTGGGGGCCAACCACCTCAGTCAAGGTAACTTCTTCCCAAATTCGAAAATGATCATTTTCAATGTTGCAGCTGTACAAATGATTTAATGAACTTGATTCAACCATGAAAAAGTATTTCACCAAAAAAATACGTGTAAAATCGAAAATGAGAATTTACTGACTCTGGGACAAAGTTTACCCCTAACTGAGTCAAACTTAGCCGAACTTACGGTACTAAATATTATCCAGTACGTAAAACATATATCATTGGACCAGAAACAGGGATCACAGGTGACCCGACTCGGTTAAAAAATGCGAAAATTTAAATCGAACCTCGTGAAACTCGTCAACCCGAGTTTCTCGTAAGCAACGACGCTCGCCAACGCACAGAAGCTCAACGTCCTCTCGATCGACGTATGTACATACGAGGGTTGATCCATCCGGGCGTGAATTCATCGAACGATCCAGGCTGACGGTAGTAACGTAGTCGAGGAAACCGGCGGGCTACCGTGTACACGAAAGAAAGAATCGTGGCGAAGAGAGCCGTGGCTGGGTGCAACGAGCGTGCGGTACTTAGCATGCATCCCCCGATACGAAGGATTCCTTATTGTATCGTTGCACGTGAGTGTAATGCACAAATATGAACTTAGCTGCGGGCTCGTACCCCGCCGTGTCCCTCTTTGTCTCCCTACCTGTCTCTATCTCTCTTCATTCGTTCGGTGATAACTCCTAACGTCCTCATAATCATACATATGGATGTCCCGTGTGTCCGTTCGCTGCTCGTCGTTTGACCACGGGACTCTCTGTTTACGCGAACGAACGATACAACCAGCAAAAGCCATTGTCCGTGGGCCCCCGTGGATCGGTAACGAGGCGAAACGGAACGATTTCTAAGCAACCGACGAACGCCACCCGTTAATTGGTATGCGGTCGCGCGATCGATAAACAGGGGCTGTTTCGTCGAAAATCCAGGAAGGGGCGACGGGTTCCAGGGAACGCGGCTTTCTAAATTCTCGATCGCGTGTACGTGGCCGAACGACGGGGCCAATTAATCCCGCGCGCCGCCATCGCGGTTCGACGCCGTTTCCATGGCTCTGACCGTGTGATACGGGGGAAGGAGGATCCTTTAGTGATTTTGTAGTGTACGGCTGCTCCTTTGAATGTACATACCGTCGCCCGAGTTCTTAAGGGAGCGCCTGGTACACAGTTAAAAATGAACGAATTTTTGGGAATTTTTTTGTGAAGGAAGTAGTAAACCGATTTGTTTGAAAATTTGAGAATACTTTATTGTACAATAAAACTGAATATAATAATTTTTATTTTTACGATAAATTCATAAATATTATTGTTATAAGGACTTATGTGCAGCATGTGAGCAAAGAAGGTGTTTCCGGGGTGTGTAATTAACCCTTTGCACTCGGAATTTCTAATTTTCCATAATACTAAAAAGGTTTTTTTCTGTTAAATTTTTCTTATTAAAATATTTATGGATTTGTCGAATAAAAATTTTTGTATTCAGTTTAATTGTACAATCAAGTATTCTCAAAGTTTCAAAGAGATTGGTT